AAAAAAAAAAAAAAATATATATATATATATATATATATATATATATATATATATATATATATATATATATATATTACACAATAATGAATAAATCTGTAAAATTACTTAATTTACAAGTGTCACGTTTGTGATTTTTATTCATGTAAGCTTTAGCTTCTGACCTTTAAATCAAAACATACTAAATAAAACACCTTACCAGATGGCATTGGGACCCGGGGGAAGCTGTTGTTGCTGCTGCACGCACTAGTAACTGTTTACTCTATCGCATTCTGTACATATTCTGTATTTATACAGTCTATGGTATGTACATTCTCAAATTAACTGCAGTGATCCAAAACAGTAAATCTTGTTTTTGTTTTACAAAATCTGTTGCTCTTTGGATGTAGTAACATCTACACCATGTTAGCATTTTCTTCTGTCACTGGCCATAATTCTAACCTTGAAATCAGGATTAGATGTAAAATAATGTCATACAGTACATGTCAAAATGGGCTGAGAATTGAAGATAGCTGTAATGTGGCTCAGATTCAGACAGGAATCACGCTTGGGAGTTTTTCTGCTGATTAAGGAAGAATACAAAGCTAACAAATGCTTGTCGAAAGCAAAAATGCTACGAAATGCATAATATTTTGTGAGAAAGTGTGACGTGCTCCAGCAAAACAGACACTATTATCAGCTCCAAAGTTAATAAGAAACACAAACTGGATTTCATCCTGCAAATATGATGCAGGTCGCTGTTATAGATATTGCTCGTCTCTGACCTGGTGTAGCTGTCGTTGAGGCTGATGGCCTCCTGCAGGAACTGGAACTGGTTGGAATAAAGTATGGTGAGATGACCAGCACTGAAGATGGCCATGAGGACACACAGACAGCTGAAGAGCAGCTTGTCAAAGGTCTTGCAGAGCGACCACCACGTGCACAGCCCCAAAAACACAAAGAAGTAGACGGCTGAGCTCAGAGAGGGCAGCGTGACACCTGGAGACCAGAACATAGGCCGATTAGACTTGTATTCTACTGACAGACTTTTAATTGATAAAGCATTTTTTTATATTTAGAATTTTTACATTCATATTTATTTGCATTGTGACATTATTTTCATAATATATTTTTATATTTCATTATAAATTATTTAATTTATAAAGGACTTTCTTTGTACAGTCTTGGATGATATTTATAGTTTTCACAGTATAAACAATAAATATTTAGGTACAGAGTGTGCTTAATTTAAAAAAAACATAATAATGTCATAATGCAAAATATTCTTAACCTTACACTTTTTTTTTCATGTAATATATTTTTAATATTTGCTTTTGATTTTTGGGATTAAATATGATTAAATATGGTCTTTAAAAAACAGATAGGATGATATTTATAGTTTTGCCAGTATAAACAATAAATATTTAGGTACAGAGTGTCCTTAAAGCTGCAGTCCATAAGTTTTGCCTCTTTGTCGCCACCTCTGTTTGAAAACCTGGAATTGCAGCTGTGTGTGGAATTATCTAGCTTGCGTGGGTTGTGAGTCGGCACGGCTCCAGCGCGGATGAATCTAATGTTCTGAAGAGTATGTGTGGCAGTCAGTCACCGCACCGGTGTGGATATTTACTGTACTTCACAATCACAGATTCTAGCCTACGTCTTGGAATATGACCCAAATAAGAATTTTCACAGGATATTGCCAAGTAACTACTGACCAACTGAGGAAAAAATCATTACCATAAATCTCACTACCAATGGTGATTAAATCTAAAGATCGGTTAGCTCATATCACATCAAACCGTTCAAATTATTATTATTGTTATACTTTATTCTCAAATGATTAATTTTAACAACACCAGCATTGGTGACTATGAGTATAGTGTGTATTAGCGTGTAGATTTCAGTTTCTGCACAGTTTAATCTAATTGTCATACTCTTCGAATTTCATATTAAGAAATTCTTTTAACCCAAAAAGCAAATGATGCTCCCTTCGAACTGGTTTTCTTTCAAATACAAATCTTTGTAATCCCAGCCTATCTGTAATCAGAAGCACATTTATAACTGGAATATAATTTAATTTCATTCACATGTGTTTCATAAACACATAATCCTTTATGGATTACAATCCGCCATCGAAATGATACATTTAATTATTCTGGCTGCTGTGAGAAAAGGCTATAAACGATCGGTCACCTGCAGGATCCTCACATGCGATAGCCTAGTAGCCGGGACAACTTCTTTATGTTTACAGACGTGACGTAATGACGCAGTGTCATGCTCGAATTTCCCGCGAAAACCTACCCGTACCACTCAAATTAGAAAACATTATTATAAGATAACCGTTGTGAATCGGGCTAAAGTAAGGCGATAGTTTCAAACACTGGCTGGTTATGTACTTGCTCAAATATTGATTTTGGATAATTTTTAACTAAAAAAAGTTATGGACTGCAGCTTTAATAAAAAAACTGAACATAATAATGTCATCATGCAAAATATTCTTAACGTTACAAAAAAAATCTAAATTTTTTCATGCAATATCTTTTTAATATTTGCTTTTGATTTTTGGGATTAAATATGATTAAATATGGCCTTTAAAAAACACACAGGATGATATTTATAGTTTTCACAGTATAAACAATATATATTTAGGTACAGAGTGTGCTTAATTTAAAAAAAACATTGACTGGAGACTGGAGTAATAATGCTGAAAATTCAGCTTTGAATTACAGAAATAAATGACATTTTACAATATATTCATATAGAAAACAGTTATTTTAAATTGTAATAATATTTCACATTATTACTGTTTTTACTGTATTTTTGATCAAATAAATGCAGCCTCTATGAGCAGAAGAGATGGTTCATGGTTGAAGATGCAAATTATGGTTTATGATGGTTACGGTTGTGACGTAAACTAAAGACTATTGATAATTAAAAAATAAAATAGACTTATAAAATATCACGTATCCACACCTGTTAATCCCAGTAGAATGGTAATGACCACTTGTCCAGCAGATGTGATGAGGTTACCGATGATCTCTTTGAGTTTTGTTGGCACTCCTGCTACTATGCGCAGAATCTTCATCTTTATGCTCTCCTGCACTTCCTCCTCCTCCACCTCCTCTTCCTCATCCAGACCTGCTCTCTCCCCGTCCTCTTCCTCTGCCTCATCTTCTGCATCAAAGTCCTCGTCAAAGAGCATCTCGTCATCATCATCATCATCACCATTTTCCACTTTCTCGTCATGCTCCTCCTGTGTTTGATCACAGAACATAAGAATCATGCACGAATACGAACCCACATGACCTAAAACATTTGACAAAATGTGCAGAGTACAATGGATGAAAAAAGTTGACAGCACAAAAATAGAACAAAAAAAAAATGCATAATTTAAAAAAAATGTTAATAAATGTTAATGAACAAATACTATTAAATAAAGTAAACAAACGGTTTTTCATGTTTCATGTTTTTCTGTTTACATTTTAATTTTAAAGTTTTAGTAATTTTGTTGTGTTTTCGTCATTTTTATTAGTTTATAATAATTTATATTTATATTATAATTTATATTAGTTTATTATTATCTGTATAGTTTCTATACATATTTCAGGTTTAGTTTGAGTTATTTTAGTACATCAAATGAAACTAAATGAAAATGAGAAATGTTTCTTTCAACAGACAGACAGACAGACAGATAGATAGATAGTATTTATTTTAATAATACTAATCAATCAACAATAATAATAATAATCATCATAGTCATTACTATTAGTATGATTAGGTTAATAAACAAATCATTTATTTATTATTAATAATAAATAAACAAATAAATAAATTATTAATAAAAATATTTATTTAGTTAATTTATTAACTTTTATTAATTTATTATTTAAAATAAAATAAAATCATTATAATTAAATGTTTTTTATTAAGTTCTGATAGCACAAATGGTAGAGCAGGTTTGGTTTCTAGAGAACAGACAATAATAATAATAATAATAATAATAATAATTTTAATTACTGTACTTAAGTCAATAAATAAATAAAGTACTTTTTAACTTGAAATAAAATGGATATAAAAATCCAAAAAAAACATTTCAAAAGTGCATCAGTTTTTTAATGTTTATCATTGCATGCTAAAGAGTATATACACTACACAGTCCACAGTACACTAGTCCATTTTATGGACATTGTCTGTTTAAGTGTTGTTTAATCTGGTTTAGATTAACTCTGATCTCACACACAAACAATACGGCCATCTAGCTTTATTGGCTCCATATGTATGGCCTTCAGCAGAGGAAACTACTTCCTGTTCACAGTAGCACATAAACACCAGTAAACGTTTAGCTACAGCATGAGGCAATTATTTACACCTCTAGTAAGTCTCTTATTAACATTAACTTGATTAATATCTTCTAGTATTACAGCTCATCACGCTTTAAACAAAATACAGTCAACATGAAAAGAAAAGACGTTTTGTGATTAGTTTCAGTCTAATATGTGACCATGGACCACAAAACCAGTCATAAGGGTAAATTTTTCATCTGAAAGCTGAATAAATATGTTTTCCATTGATGTAGGGTTTGTTAGGATAGGACAATATTTGGTCGAGATACAACTATTTGAAAATCTGGAATCTGAGGGTGCAAAAAAAATCTAAATATTGAGAAAATCGCCTTTAAAGTTGTCCAAATGAAATTCTTAGCAATGCATATTGCTAATCAAAAATTACATTTTGATATATTTACGGTAGGAAATTTACAAAATATCTTCATGGAACATGATCTTTACTTAATATCCTAATGATTTTTGGCATAAAAGAAAAATCAATAATTATGAAATCAAAAATATACCCCAGCGACTTAACACTGCTTTTGTGCTCCAGGGTCACATATATATATGCGAGTGTAAACTTTTAGCAGATGTTCTGGGAACTTCTCTTCATCCTATAACATAGTAAACCTGTTTTGTAGGGCTTTCTTTCTGGGAAAACAAAAAGTTGGAAAGCTGGTATTGGGGTGGGGTTCACAAAAATGTGATTATGACATTTCACATAGTAAAGTTCTTTAATAACACTTCTGCTGAGCTGACACTGCATGCAAACTTTCAGTCATTATTGTAGACATATAGATTTATTTTGTGATAATAAATGGCTGACTGTACACTATACTGTTTACTGCATTGCTACTTTGAAGAATGAAAGCATGGACTGATATGAAAGATATGTAACTATAGCACAGTAAGAAAACAATCATCTGGGACAAAAATCAATCATCCACTTTAGTGTTAGTCTTCAAAAATATGTGACTACATAAAAATAAAATAAAATAAATTATTAAAATAACTCAAGAATTATTTCTAAGTTCTGGTAGCGTTGGGTTTGTTTTCTAGGGAACAGACACTATTAAAAACAACAAAAATTCTGGTAGCTAGAATGATTAGCAGTAGTAGTAGTATTAAGAAAATAAATACTACATTTTATTTATTACATTTTATTAAATTATTATTTATTTTTATCAAATAAAATAGTTCAAAAAAATTGTGCATGAATGTATCTATCAAATTTCACCTTTTCCTCGGCCTCAAAGTCATGGTTGTCCTGGGCCATTTCTTCGCTGGGAAGCTTGTGGACCAGCTTTCTGCACAGCAGCCACACGGACAGACTCACCATGAACATCCCAATATCCGGGAGGAAAACTCGGATACCATTGCCTGCATCTGCACCAATAACACTACAAACACGGACAGCACATTAATTAAAGTGCATGATTCATACATCTTTCTTTAACATATTTTTTAAAAAGATTTGCAGACGTCCAGTATTCACATGAACTTGTTACAGGTAATCGTGACTGTAACAAAGAAACTAGCATCGCCAGAATTCCCGTTAAACCGCACGCCATCTGTGAGGGCGGCAAACATTTGCGAGAAGCATTTTCCAGTTTGAGCTTCGCACACGTCTGTTGTGTGCCATTTTATATGCTTCCCCACCCAGTTCAATAAAATCGGACTTGCACCATATTAAAAGAGTATAAATATTTCTCATAAAACACATACTGGGTTCTTCTGAAACTCACACAAGAGTGAAATTAAGTCCTGAAGTGCTTAGTCGGTGTCGGGAGGATTTAGTCAAAACAGGTCTGAGTGAAGATGTTTTGTTGATCATTCAGACAATGAAAAGCAGTTATTCATGCTATTATGAAAGGAAACGCGATGTATGGATGACTCATGTGCTTATACAATATATAATGTGCAGAGGTGTAAAGAGTACCTAAAAACCATACTTGAGTAAAAGCACCTTATCAGTGAAAATTACTCCACTACACGTTCCCAACAAAGTCACCAATCCCAAAACAACTTGAGTAAAAGTCTTAGAGTATCTGATTTTAACAGTACTTAAGTATTTTACTTATACTAAATATAGGCTCAAAGATGCACTAGTCAAAGAGACATGCCAGTGATAAACTGTTACGTTGTGGAGAAGCTGTGGAAAACAGGCAGAGGCAAGGATCTATGTGCTGGTATTTCTTGGAAAAACTAGAACAAACAATAAGCCAAAAACCAAAGGGAACAAAGAACAGAATGACTGGCAAACAGACAACCATTACATTCAACAACTCACAAGGAACTAAAGAAACACTAGGGCTATATAAACACACTGGGGGTTAACAAGCTTAACAAGATGAGACACACCTGGGGAGACTAATCAAGGGGAACCAATGAACAAACGGACTACAAACTAGATAGATAGATAGACTGACTACAAACTGACTACAAACACCACGGGAGACAGGAAGTGACATAAAAGTCCAGGGCAAGGCACAGAAAGCATGAAACAAAATCAAGAAATAGTTGATTTGTGAGGAGAGCAATCACGTTTATTTTCTAAAACCAAAATAAAACACCTCAAAATTACAAAACAAAAACAATATCTTTCAAAAAGGTCTCTTCAGTATAATGGATAAATTAAATAATGTTAAGTAAATTTAAAAAGCTGAAGCCTTCTTGCAGTGGATGTTTTGGTTTTGGCCTCATTGCCGGCTGCAGTCATGTCCTCGTCTCATATATAAAACACCTCTGATTCACAAATACTTGCTAAGGAACTTGCATTCACATAAAGTAGCCTTGTTGAAAAGTTTGGGTGAGTAAGGGCAAAAGGCACAAGATGCAGTACTTTCAGTGACCTGTAATAGGCAGAATCACGTCTTTTGTAGCAGAAATAAACTGCTGCAGAAAAAGCTAGGTCCATTCCAAATGTAACTCTTTTCAAATGTTTCTCCAGTCAGAAACTATATGCAGTGTTGGGGAAAGTTACTTTTAAAAGTAATGCATTACAATATTGCGTTAATCCATAAAAAAGTAACTAATTATGTTACTTAGTTACTTTTTATGGAAAGTAATGTGTTACGATACTTAAATCTGGACAGGACTTGCTTTGTTTTTAAAATAAAAAAGTTCTATTTTTGGCAAATATAAAAGCCTTTTCACACCAAAAGTGAAATGAATAAGCCTCAGGCTGAAGGGAAAGTACATGTACGTCCGCACAATTGAATACAGAAGAAGACATTTCAACACACTTCAGCAATAAAAAAAGACACACAAATGTTCGTCTAGAGTAATTTTTGCTTATTAGTACGGTTGAACTGGATCATCGAAGGTCAGAAGCTAAGACATTGGTTAATAGAATGGGATTAAATACATAAAGCATATTTGTGTTGTTTAACATTTAATTATTGCAGGTTTGCGTCATATTCTGAGTTGCATTATTTTTATTCATTTTGAGGAATACTGAATCTGTTTTTTTTTTTTGTTTTTTTTTGTGAGTGAGATGTTAATGCATATTCATATTTATTTTAGAACTACAGTAACATCTGATTTCTCTCAACATGGGGACAGGAGAGCTGACAATCAATAAATTGGAAAAAAAAGTAACTTGCGTTACTTATTTGAAAAAGTAACTCTGATATTCTCTTGTAAATTAAAAAGTAATGCGTTACTTTACTAGTTACTTGAAAAAAGTAATCTGATTACGTAACTCACGCTACTTGTAATGCGTTACCCCCAACACTGACTATATGTACCACAAGATGAGGAAAATGAAGTTAGCATGACTCGATGTTCGAGTAAACAGCTGATTTTACTGTATCTGCACTAAACTTACCAATATATCAATTAAAAAAACTAAAGTCACTATTGGCTTTTAAGTATTCGGTTTACAACAAATGAAAAGTCTAGAATGTATTTTAGCTCTAGCACTTCCTTTTTCCTTGCCCTAAGTGTGTTTCATTTATTTAAATGCAGATTGTAAACAAAACTAAACCGCGAGGCATCTCTGCCTCTTATGCTATAATGTCTGCCATCATTTCCATATTGGTGGATCAGGATTTAAAAATAAAATAACAATAAAACAACAGCGTTAAGTGCTCTTTTGGCATCATTTTAATTTCCATTTTGGTGCATCTGTCTGCAGGATCTCTCCTACACTAAATTATGTTCCCTACATCAGCTCTTAACAATGACTTTCAGACCCCAAACATCCACATCACAATTATTCCTGCATCAACTCCTTTCGCTCATGTGATTCATTTCTCTCCCATGGTTTCCCTGCCGGTCGGTGGAGCAGAGAGACATCAGCGGGACGTTATGTTACGGATAAATGTCTTCGCTCAACTAACAGGTCTAAATAGGAGTATAAACAGTTTTACAGCCAAACTTCCTGCCACTTATGGTGAATCGAGCCCTCCGACCAGCACTGCTTGGAAAAAGGTGCAGGTGGAGATTCCCGTACTCAGGAAACCGCACTTAACAGAATCACAGTCAGGCCAGCGCACACAAATATCAAGACAGGCCTTGAAAAATCAGGCTGTCAACAGTGGGTCAGGTTTAATTGGGTTTAGTGTTCATCAGGGGAAGCACTGGTTTGGAGCCGTGCTGCATAAGTGGTGAGTAATGTTATCTGTCTCTGTTTGCTGAAGTACTTCAAACTGAAAACACATCCCTCTTATGTGTGCAAGATATTACAAGCTTCTAAGTGATTTTGTGTGTTGGGAATAAACATAAGGAAAAACATTTCCTTACAGTATCATATTAGAAAACAATACTAGTTGCACTGGGCTGTACTACTATTCCAAAGGTTAATATCACTAAATGGTTATATACTTTTTCTATTATTATTTTGACAGATAATGTTAGTTTTTAGATAGTTAGATAGTGGTTTAATTTCACCGTCATATATAACCTTTTTTTCTTTTTGCAATATCTGCTGAAAGGAGGAAAAGAACAACCCTTGGGAAATTATCACTCTTTCTTTCAAAGCAAATCGATGAGATTAAGCAGATGAGATGTTCAGAATAGCATACAGTGTACTCATAGCATATAGCTTACTATTTCTGCAGTATTTAGTATGTACTTTGGGCACAGTGTGTACAAATGTTTAGGGTCAGTAAGACCTTTTTTTGTTTTAATAATGTTAAAAAATATTTCTATTTCAAATAAATGCTGTTCTATTGAAATTTCTATTCATCAAAGAATTATAAAAAAGTTTTCCACAAAAATATGAAGCAGCACAACTGTTTTCAACATTGATAATAATCAGAAATGGTTCTTGAGCAGCAAATCAGCATATTAGAATGATTTCTGAAGATCATGTGACACTGAAGACTGGAGTAATGATGCTGAAAATACAGCTTTGATCAGAGAAATAAAATACATTTTACTATACATTCAAATAGAAAGCAGTTATGTTGAATTGTAATAATAATATTTCACAATATTACTGTTTTGACTGTATTTTTGATCAAATAAATGCAGCCTTGGTGAGCAGAAGAGTTTGATTTTGAAAACATTAAAAAAGCTTACTGACTGCACTTTTGAACTGAAGAAAATATGAACCACACATATGCCTGTCATCATTACATAATGTAGTTTGACATTCTTTTTAAAATAGCATTTAGTATATAGTATATACTGCACAGTATTTAGTATGCTACTCCATTCCCAACACAGTCAATTAAACAAAACCGCTCTCAAAGTTCTGGTAGCAACAGTACTTTCTCTCCTCCTCCTCAAAGCTTTCCATAAAAACTCAATCAATAATCGCGGATGATTTTGCAGTGCTTGTTGCAAGTTTAGTGTCTTTCTATAAAGAAGCAGTTGTAAAAGACAGGCCAAAAGATTTCACGCAGTAAAAACATTTCCAATTAAAAACCTTTCATATTCACGATAGCAATATGTGAGAGTTTGATAAACAGGCATGAAATGAAACCTTCATAAAATGTGTCTAAGGCAGTTTATAGGCTTGTGATTAAAATAAGCACTTGGACTCACCTCTCGAAGCCAATCTGTCGTATTGACTTCTCCCACACTGAACCTGGTAAATAGAAAAGATAAAGCTTTACTACCCATTGTATAGAATTTTCCAGCACACTGACTTTGAAAGCGCTGGGTCATTCATAAACCAATGACGAGAGCCAAGATGCTTTGCTTTGTCAAACTGCAGGGTCACTGTGGGTCATTTCTGAGTTATTTGAGGAAGACTGAATGAATGTGTCTAGAGATGATTAATGTGATGAGATGACAAGTAATCTTTCAAAAGAGCAGGCTGTTCTATTTAAAGAGAAGCACTTTTCTACCTTTTCTGTATAAATAAAAATATATTAAATATTACAATAAAAATTATTTGACCAAATTAAAAAATAAAAATAGAAATAAGAAAATAAATTATTAAAATAAGCGGTGATATTATGTTTTTATCTAAGATCAACCATTTTTAAAATTCAACCTATTTAAAAAAAAAATGAAAATAATGAAAAAAATTAAAACTGCAACTATATATAAAAAAAATCTAATACATAAATGAAAAGATAACTGATACCAATATATAGTCATATTGATATAATGAATAAATGTTTTAACATTAGTGTTATCTATATTTTATCTGTATTTAAAGAGAAACGCTTTTCTATGTTCAATTACCCTTTGCTCTTTTCTCTTTACTTTTATTTAGCTGATTCTTTATTATTTAGCTGATTTGAAGATGCATAAAAATAAAAACATTCAAATATTATATTCACTGTAAAGCACGGCCTATTGCTTTCATGCCTGACATCCGTTAGAGCTGCCGAAGGAAAATGAGCTCAACTTCAGACGTGTCTGTATTATTTACAGTAATCACAAATCAATACGTCAGACTGTGTTCTTAGTAAATTAGGAGAGTAATTAGGTATTGAATAGCCTTTGAGACTGAAGTCTATTACAGACAGACTCACTACCTGGATTCAACCCAACATTACACTGACTGGATGTTTGTCTAATGACACCAATCTAATGTCGACAACTGGGAGAATGTGCAGATGCAAATATTATGAATATACATATTTTAGAAAAAAAAAAAGGAAGACACCACACATCACTCATTTCTCCAAGACAAATGGATTCATTGAATCCCATAATGGAGGAGTGAAACCCGTCAAACGCCACCATCAAAATTCAACAACTCCATTCATTCTAAACGCCATTATTACCATCATTATGACTAACACTCCATGATGTCTTATCAGAGTTTTTGGCATTTAGTCATTGCATTTAGTACTCGTTCATTAGATACTAGTACCTATTAAATAGACACTAGTGATTAGTAACTATTCTGTTGCTACTAGTAACACATTTTACATTTTTGTAAGCTAGTATGTATTCCAATAGTGACTAGTATCTTTTTAAATAGTACTTGTAAGTATTCATTAGATACAAGTACTTATTTATTTAACACTTTTACTTTTGATTAGATCTTAGATTCTAGTAGTTATTCATTAGGCACTGGAACTTATTTATTAGACACTAGTATCTGTTGTAATGACTACTCGTAACAAATCTTACTATACTAGTCAAAAGTTAGTAGTAGCCAAAGAATAAGCACTAGTAGCTAAAGGATAAGTACTAGTACTTAATGGAATAAATAACAAAATAAGTACTTGCATGAAAATAGATACTAGTACATTTAAGGATTAAAGTTAAAACGGCAAGGGTAGAGATGCTAGTTATATACATTTAAGTTCACCCAAATGTGATATTGTGATAAAAGAAATCTAATATGATTGAGTTTAATATTTTAACAAGTATATGAAGATATATGATGCACACGTACTGAGTTCAAAAGTCACACCAGGACAGAACTGAAAGGAAAGTGTCTAAGTAAACCAAAATGTAATGTAAACGCTTTTGTCATTCCTAGAATCGAAACATTAGAAACAGTAAATAGTCTCCGGTCTCAGCGGGACGTGAGTAATGTTTTCTTTGTTCAGATGAGAACAATTGGAGGGCAAAGACTAAGTGGCATATTTCCCATAACGCACGGTTGTTTAAAGTTAAAGTAGACAGACACAATATACTGCTGTTCCTGTGTAAGATGAGAAACCCTGCTCATGTGATAAGATGCAATTAAAAAAAAAGAAGGAAAATTAAAAAATAAATAAATAAGCAGGAAATAAAAAATATTTATTTCAAAAAAATATTTAATAATAATAATAATAATAAAATGTATTAAAAAAACATTTTTTTTTTTTGATCCAGCACTTTTGACTAATTCTAATTTGATAATGGTCATTTTTTTAGCTGGTTTTGAGGTTATAAATGGCTACATCTCTGAGAAAAATTTTGTCAATTAAATGAAATGAAATATAAAATAAAAAAATAAATCAAGAAAATGTAAAAATAAAAACATAAAATAAAATAAATAGTAAAATAAAATGCAAAAACAAATAATAAAAAATAAAATAAAGATTTGACAAATTGTAATTTGATAATGGTCATTTTTAGCTGGTTTTGAGGTTATAAATGTCAACATCTCAATCTAATGTTGGTTGTCAGAGAAAAAAATTGTCTCATTCATTGGTCCATAATTCAGGGCTGGCAGTAAAATGATAAAATAAGCATGGTCAGCAGAAAGCGTTCAGTGGAGCGATGCAGAGGTCGCTAACACCTCTGAGGTCAGCAACCCTGAGCAAGACTCTGTCCTCCTCTGAACACTTAAGAGCTCTTCATGTTCTTTATTCATAGTCAGAAAGACACAAAGACTAAGAAGTATTACGTTTCTTCTAATGATTTGTGAGCGACCTGCTTTGCTATCAAACAGTGAGTTCATGCAGCATAAAGGGCCGTTTCACAGCCACACAAATGTACATAAAGCTTCATTAAACACTTATTGCCTGGGGTCTCTATGTAAAAATAAAATTAGATTAAAATTATAATAAAATAAAAATAGAAACAAAATGAATTTAAAATGATGGGGAAAACATTATAAAATAAAAATTTCTAAAACAAAAACGATGAAATATAAATATTAAATATAGAAATTGATTAAAAAAATTAAATAGAAACAAAAATTAAAATGAAAATTCTAACAAAAATTAAATAAAAATATAAAAAATGTAATTAGATTAAAAATATGATAAAATAAAAATACATTATATATAAAATAAAAATTGCTAAAACAAAAACGATAAAATAAAATAAAAAAAATGCTAGTAGTTCCATAATTCTGTATGCAAAACTTTCCAGTCACCATGGCGCGTGCATTAACTTATGACAGTCTTGATGAACCCTTTTTGAATACCGAGATAGTGAATTGGTGGGTTTTTGTTAAATGTGAGCCAAAATCATCACAATTAAAAGAACCAAAGACTTAAACTACTTCAGTCTGTGTGCATTCAATTTATTTAATACACGAGTTTCACAATTTGAGTTGAATTACTGAAATAAATTAACTTTTCCACGACATTCTAATTTATTGAGATGCACCTGTACCTTTTTGAAATATGGAAGTATAACTTACAATTGAATTCAGAATTGATAGAGTTTGCAGCCAGCAAACTGTGGATGGTGATTTGATAGACGATGTGGATGAAGAGGAAGGTCATGCTACAGAAGCATAAAGACTTCAGCAAGTGCCCCGTGTAGCCTGGAACAGAAAAAGCAACAGGAACAAGCATCAAGGGTCAGTAATGATTTGTGTCTGACATGGTGATGAACCACATTATCACAACTCATAGGGGATTTGCTGATACGATAATAATGAGTTCAAAGAAAGGCATTACACACATTATTGTGCCAATAATAGTAAAACCTGTATTAAATGTGTTAAATAAAGTTCATAGTCTTTCCTCCCTGTGACCCAACGAGAAGCTGCAACAGTTTACATTGAATTAAATGCCAGATATACAGTATACCAATAATAACCAGAAAAAAAGATTGTATACATATTGCAGGACTTTTAATTATAAACAAGCACGAAATACAGTGGGACTCTTATTTTGAAAAGTCTATGCTACTTCCAGCTGCTCATATCAAAATATTCTGTTATATCGAAAATTCTCTTACAATCATCTACAACATATTACAATATAAACACAGTAATGTAAACCATAAATCATCAACAGTAGATCATAAGCAATTGTTTAAGCATAAATGTGCAGTACCCACTGATTGCAAAAAAACACAAGGCTGCAAGAAAGTGCCATGTTTTGACTTTGATTTATTTAAATTAATCATTGCCTTCTGAAGTTTAATAATCCCATTAGGCTGTATTGCAATTCCTGTGTTTACATTCCTAAACTTAACACCTTTTGTTATACAATTTAAGACTTTTTTTTTTTACCTTAAATTTCAACTGAATTAAAAACATTAAGACATTTTTTAAGAACTTTCAGGGATGCAACATTCAAAATTTATCACACCGGGGTTTCCAAAATGTTGAGCAAACAAGTTTCAAGCCAAAGAAGCAACATTAAAAGCTCTTTATTTGAGATAGAACTAATGAAAATCACAATAAAGACACAAATGTGCACGTGTTTAATACTTCACGTGTGTTTTTGTGCTATTTGAGATGAAACTAATGGAGTTTGTGTTGTTAATTTCCCTCAGCACAAGCATTCATTGTTGTTCTTACAAGACGAACAACAGCTAATCGTGAGAGCCTCTTTGTTTTAGCACTCTCATATAGCATAACACCAAGGTCAAATGAAGTATTAAAGTATTTTTAGAGTGTTTTTCTCTACCAACGATCGATATTTTCCGATGTGGTGCAGGCCTGAGCACGGCTGTGCAGCCCATCATATGTAATGCTTCCTAATGGAGATCATTTTAGCCACAAGTGAGACATAATCATAAGAAACCAGACGGTGAGAAGCGCTGCCAGATGCTAACTGCTAGATCTGTCCTGGGCAGAGGATATGGCTTGTCCTGATTTACTCTATAAAACACAGTGTGCAAAACAATTTGAGCTGATTTCCCCCTAACAGGAGGAAGGGGTTGTTAATGCGTAGTTTAGTGAGCACCGCGGGTGCAGATCTCTGCCAAAACACTCATTCACGCCACATATTTCATCCCTATCAAATAAAAACCATGCATGAGGACAACCAGATGAAAAGCGCTAACTGCATCTCTCCTGACCACCGTAAACTTTCTATTGACTGTGCAGTTTTTGCCACCTCTGCCTGTTTACATGGCCAAAAACTAATGCTTGTGGTGTAAATCAGTGAGATTTTTATAACAGTATAGCAGATACTTACATAAAATTTATAAATATCAGTCGTCACTCTATATCTCCAATAATATTAGTAAGATTATATTTAAATGCTTTGTTTGTTGATCAAATCATAATGCAATGCAATCCATAGATCATTGAGAGATGAACAAATAAACGCTCCTCAAAAGCTTGATGATCATATTTGAGACTCACATTTGAACAGATTTTATGGTTAATCAAGTAAAGCCAAGCTGTATTAGTCCAGTAAGTGTTCATCTTGAAATATCACTAACAATATCAAATATATTCTTACATTTACTTTAAAAAAATCAGAGCTGTGAGATTTGCAACACATGAATTCATCCTCTCGAAAGACATTAAAGGGATTGTTCACTCAAAAATGAAAATTACCCCATCATTTACTCTGAAACCATCCTAGGTGTATATGACTTTCTTCTTTCAGATGAATACAATCATTATACAAAGTTATATTAAAAAAATGTCCTGGCTCTTCCAAGCTTTATAATGCCAGTGAATGGGGGTCCAGATTTTGAAGCCCAAAAAAGTGCATCCATCCATCATAAGAAGTGCTCCAAACGGGTTCGGGGGGTTAATAGAGGTCATTCTGAAGTGAAGTGATGCCTTTGTGTAAAAAAAAAAAATCCATATTTACAACTTTATAAACCGTAATCTCTAGCTTCCTTCAAGAGCATTTGGGGGCATGTAGAAATATCAAGATCATTGCTAAAAGCATCTGTCAAATTTGCACATGTATTGTACCGTATAACAATCACCTTCTAAAACAGTGATTGAACACAGAGGTGCAGTTCTGATATCATCTGTATACTGGGTTAAAACACTAGAATATAGAAACAAAACAAGTTAATTTTGAGATTATGGTTATTATTTTGTCATATACAGTATTAGGGTCTGTGGGACCCCAAATATACAGAGTTATATAAATATATACAAGATAAATATGACAAAAAAATCCCCCTTATCTATATTCCCAGCGCATGCAATGGTGTACTCTTAAAGGGTTAGTTAACCCCAAAATGATAATTCTGTCATTAATTACTCACCCTCATGTCGTTCCAAACCCGTAAGACCTTCGTTCATCTTCGGAACACAAATTAAGACATTTTTGACGAAATCGGAGAGCTCTCAGACCCTGCATAGACCGCAAGGCAACTGTAATGTTCCCAGGTCCAGAAACGTAGTAAGGACATCAGTAAAACAGTCCATGTGACATCAGTGGCTCAACTTCAGTTTTGTGAAGCTACGAGAATACTTTTTGAGCGTAAAGAAAACAAAAATAACAATTTATTAACAATTCTTCTTGAAAAAGAAGGAGAAAGCGCGCGCATGAACGTAATCTGCGTAATCAGCGTTGTTTATGCTTAGGGGAAAGCGTGGGTATGCATTGTGATACATTGTGAGACGTAACTCAGGGGAGAAGAATTGTAGAAAAATTACGTTATTTTTGTTTTCTTTGCGCTCAAAAAGTATTCTCGTAGCGTCGCAAAACTGAAGTTGAGCCATTGATGTCACATGGACAGTTTTACCGATATCCTTACTATGTTTCTGGACCTGGGAACATTACAGTTGCGTTGCTGTCTATGCAGGGTCTGAGAGCTCTCACATTTCATCAAAAATATCTTAATTTGTGTTCCGAAGATGAATGAAGGTCTTACGGGTTTGGAACGACATGAGGGTGAGTAATTAATGACAGAATTTTCATTTTTGGGTGAACTATCCCTTTAACAGAACCTGACAGAAGACATTGATTCACCCCAGTGTGTTAGATAACATTACAGAAAAATACGACCAATATCACACAGCTTCAGAAATCACAAATAAAACACTTACCAAAACCAACAAACACTTCGAATCCTTCTCCTTTTACTAAAACAAACACTTTCAAGCTTAATACACCTGAGATTCTTGAGAAACATTATAGAAATCACATAACGGGGTCATTTTCTCAGATTCCTATAACTGCACTTATTCAAGGTATATATTACACAGCATTTATTATAATGGGTTTATGTGACTGTCAGGATTTTGGACGGTCTGTCGTGCTTTACCTCTGTCTTAGTTCCTGTTTTCCTTTTTTGGACATGTTTCCTGTTCTTGTTTAGTGATTGATGATTCTGCTCACCTGTGTTTGTAATTATCCCGTGTTTATAAGTTCCTGTCTGTTCCTTAGTTCTTCGTCGGGTCTACTTGTTGTGAACGTCTTCCTTGTGCTCTGTGTCTCCCTGTTGGATTATTAAAGACTCTCGTTTTGTGAATTCTCCACGTCTCCTCGTTTCCTCGTACCCATGCTCCAGCGTATTGTGACAGAAGACCCGACCAAAATAGTTACCTCCTTGTGTTCCCTCTGTTTTTGTTTCCATTTTTCCTCAGTGTTTTGTTTCCGTTGTGTCCATGGATCCCCTCCTTCGTCCTGAAAACCTCTTCCTGCTGGAGCAGGGGGAGAGATCGCTTGAGGGCCACACCAGACGGTTCCTGGTGCTTGCCAACCTCTCCAGCTACCCGGACGACGCACTCTGTGCGTTCTGAGCGCCATCGTCCGAGGAAGGCCCTCAAGCGAATTTTGCCGCCTTTGTGGAGTGGACACTGGCGAGAAATGGATCTCCGTTCCACACCTGTTCCCAGGAGAATCTCACCAGTTCCACACCCGACCTAGTGCCCAGCTCACCATCTGCCCAATGCGCGGAGCGCATGCCCGAGCCCACCGCTGACGGAGAGCCGGAGCCCACCGCGACCGACAGTTTTGTCTGGTCCTGTCTGTTGTCAGTACAGAAGTGCATGTGTGAACTTGCATGTTTGCACGCACCTCTTTTTCCACCTTTTTGTATGTTGACTGAAACACAGCAGATGATTATGATGCACAGACACCTGCAGGCATTTCTGTTTTCCAATTGCATAACCCAAAAAGGTTGCAAAACACTAGCTTCCCATTATATTGTTTCTTTATAGTCTACGGTTCCAACATTGCATAATCGCTTCTGCGTATTACCACAAATAGGATCCAAATGAGCGTCTGATAAATCTGTATGAACTGTGAAGCCCAGAATGCATTGCTCTTACTATGAGCACAGGTCTGCTTGACTATTGATGAGTGTAAGTGGACCACTTAAAAATGTCCTGTCCTCTTCCTCTTTCATCTTATTCCATGAAAACCTTCTCTTATACATAATTAACCATCAGAAAACAAACATCCGAACACACCTCCAGAAATGTGCTGCCATGAACAGAGCAGAAATGGACCAGACGTTCAGAAAACAACGTCATTATTCACTCTGATGTATATTAGATAATATTTAAAATGCACTACTGTTCAAAAGTTTTGGAGCCAATAAGATTTTTTTAAAGAAATTAATTTTTTTTTCAGCAAAGATGCATTAAATTGATCAAAAGTGACAGCAAAGACATTTATAATGTCACAAAAGTTACTATTTCAAATAAATACGGTTCTTTTGAACTTTCTATTCATCATAGAATTCTGAAAAATAAAAATGTATCAAGGTTTCCACAAAAATATGAAGCAGCCCAACTGTTTTCAACATTGATAATAATCAGAAATGTTTCTTGAGCAGCAAATCAGCATATTAGAATGATTTCTGAAGATCACGTGACACTGAAGACTGGAGTAATGATGCTGAAAATTCAGATTTGATCACAGAAATAAATTACATGTTAAAAGACATTCTAACATGAATTGTATTCATATTTCAATTTTTTTCAGTTTTTACTGTATTTTTAATCAAATAAATGCAGCCTTGGTGAGCAGTCTTTCACTATGCTGATTTGTTTCTAACAATTTATGCATAAAATTAGCATATTATATTGTGACATTTAAATAATGGTTTGATCTTTGACATCATATTTAAAAGTTTCTCTCACAGTCTTTCATTTATATTGGCCTCATCAAGCTCAATAGCTTAACTCTATAATGGGAATAAAATCACACTGATCAGTTTCTCTAACGCTTAAACCTTCCTCGTCTCAGCAGATTAACGTCCTCATCAATTATTCAGCATGATCAGCCCACCTTCATTGCATCCTAAATCTTGATCTTCCCTCTAAGCACACGAGTAAGTTCTTCCTCTGAACAAAAGCCACAAATCACCATCTATAGGGTCTCCTGACTGTAGTTGTTTCAATTAATGTTTTGTTAACACTTCTGCTCCATTGGATTTTCTGCATGAGGCACTAACAGCGGTTTCAGGAGACGGATGCGCTTCCTGCATGGCATTTGTGACACTTAGGGAAGAGTTAGTACTGGTGCAGTGATGATTCTCACCTTGCATGGTTATACTGGAGGGTTCGGGGAACAGCGGGATGAGGAGGAGGTACAGGAGGTAGATGAAGGACAGTCCATTGTACCTGAACAGACATGCTGCAGAGAGAAGATGTCAACATGTTAGAGTAATCTAGAGTTTAAACAAAACAAAACAAAACAAAACAAAACTCAAAACAAAACAAAACAAAAACAAAAACATGATGTTGTACGTCATCTCTCATTTTTAAAAACATAAAGCCTGAAACAATGCTCACACAGATGAAAATATGGTAAATAAATAACAGGTATGTAACCATAATATGACACTTTGGCAAATAAAATAAAATTACATTTATTTATATTATATTATTTGTAAATTAATTATTTACATTATACTGTGTATATATTATATTATATTATTGTAAATGAATGAATGAATGAATTATTGAATATAGAAATAAATAAGTATTTACGATATATTATTTTTACTATGTAAATTAATGTGTATTATTTATATTATATTATTTGTAATTAAATAAATAAATATTATTTATTATTTATAGGTGAATGAATAAATGAAGGAATGGAAATTTACATTTATATTATATGCAAATGAATGAATAAATAAATATTATTTAAATGATTTGTAAATGAATGAATATTACTTTCATTATATTGTTTATATTATATTATTTGTAAATATTATTTATATTATATTTATAAGTGAGTGAGTGAATGAATTAATGAAAATTTACATTTATATTATATGCAAATGAATAGATAAATATTTACATTATTTGTAAATGAATTAATATGATTTACATTATATTGTTTATATTATATTATCTGTAAATAAGTAAATAAATATTATTTACATTATAATTCAATGAATGAAAGATTGTTTGCATTGTATATAAATGAATGACTGAATGAATGAATATTTGCATTTAATTGTTTATATTATTTGCAAAAAAATATTATTATTATATTACAATATTAGTAAGTAAATAAATAAATAAATAAGTGGGGTTTCTGCCTTTTTTTTAAATACATATATTATTAACATTTCATGTTTTAATATGAAGATGAACACATCTGTGAGAATCCATTTAAGTGAGATCATGTCAAATCACAGGGTTTCGTTTACAGGCTTCAAATTAATGTCCTCCTAGACCTTTAGTCTCCGTCTGCGCATCTGACAAACCATTCAGTGCCACACACACACACACACAAGAATATATGTCCTCATTTTCTAATTCACAGATGGATATTTCAATGATACAGTGGTCACTGGACTAGAAGCGTTACCAGCTTTCAATTTAGACATTTGATCACCCCCCCCACACACACACACACACTCACACACACACACACACACACACCACACACACACCATACACACACACACACACTCCACACGTGTGTGGAGAGTTTCCTGAAGTTACCAGAATATCTGCTCTGATTCTCTCTTTCCATGAACTTTATTCATCACTGGACAGAAAGATGCTCCGGAAACTAAATAAAGCACTGTGTCATGACACGGCTTGAGTTTAACATCTAGACGAGAGTAAGGGCATTTGAAAATCTTGTTGTTAATCTTGCAAGTTTGCCATTTTATGAGCTGATGCTGTGAATATCACACACACACTTATTTCACTACCAAACAGGGAGCTCAGCAGCAGACCAGACAGAAAGTGCATCCTACTCTGGAAAAGTCCAAAGAAAACTCTCAGAAGACACGCCAATGACGACAAAAATATGATTACATCACCATCTACAAACTGCCAAAATCCCAATTATACTGTTTAAGATTGTTAAACAGCCAATATATCTCTATTTCCTACTATACAAACAACATTTGTGACAGAAAAAGCAAGAATGACAATAAAAGGGTGAAGTAAAAGTGCAGATATCACAGCCACAGGGACTTTCCACTGCAGTTAAAGAGTCTTAAATATTGAACCATATTGGCAAACTTGAGCACTATATGGAAAGGTGATATTAAAATGAAAATCAAAAACCAGTACAAACCCAGACAGATATTATAATGCATCATTTTATTGTGATCTCAACATGTTCACATAAAAATGATGTTTTGTCTAAAGACTCTGAGTATAGTGCTGAATATGGATGGGAATCATAGGGAATTTAATGATTCTGGCCCAGGTTACGATTCCAGTGCCTTAATGATTCCATTAACGAGTGTTTTAGTACTTCTGTGGAAGCACCAAATACTGTATTCCAACTATAACATGCCATATTTATGGAAACCTATTATTACAGTCAGAAGCACAAAGTATTAATAGCATTAACACTGTATTAAGTACAATTTACTACATTAACTGCATGAACAGAATGCAATGCAAGTCATTCTCGATAAAAACATATGTAAACAGAAAAAAGTAAGCAGTCATTATTAAAACAAAACAAAACAAATTTATTTGAACACTAATTTGCACACTTAGACACTATTTTGAAAAACCAATAATGTAATATCAAGAACCTTTTTTAATGTTAAACTCATGAACCCTGTATAGCAAATTAATTAATTAATTAGTTAAATATAATAAAAAGTATATATTAGATACATGCATATATTTCACACACATACATATATATATATATATATATATATATATATATGCTAACTAAAGAACCCTGTACAGCAAATAAATAAATACATTTGCTACTTGGATAATACATTTGTATATATAACTATATTACATTTTTTTAACTTGAAGAATTATGGGAACTTTTTTAAAGTTAACTAAATTACCCTGTATAGCAACCCTGTTGTAAAAAAATTATAAACAATTTAATTAATTATTTAAAAAAATGTTTGATTAGATACATCCATATATTTCATATGTCTTACGTAATTAAATATTTAATTAAATTCTTTTATGAACCGAGGGCGGAATCAATGCAATCTGAATATCATTGGCATACTATTATTCATTTTTTTTGTAATATTTTGAAAATTGAATTTTAAGATTTTCTGCTTTCATTTTAATGTGTTATGTTCGTTTTAGTAATTTTGATGTGTGTTTTACCATTTTTAATGGTAACTTTGTAGTTTGTATTCATTTTAGGATATAATACATCCTAAAAATTGATGGTATGCAGAGTCATGCGTTTGATTAATCCAATATGTGCAACAGAGATCAAATCATTTTTAAGTGTGTTAAACAGAAGCCTTTGACAGAAAAACAGCTGTGCCATTGGTGGAGTTAAACAGCAGCACACCGGTGTGAGAGAGAGATAAGTGTAGGAGGTCATTAAACAGATTACAGCACAGACATTCATCCTGTTCATTAAACCAGCAGCATTAAACACACCACCTCAGGACAAAATGCTGAACTTCTTCTGAAACGTTTAAGTGGATATTGAAACATTACCCAAAACAACTTCAGAAAGAGAGATTGTGTCAAATATTGTATTTTTAACAACACTCGGACATTTATGGGTCCTTTTCTTTTCTAATTTGTCACATACAGCACTGCACTGCACATACAAATACATCTAATCAGATCTTTTCCTTTTAACATGATGCTTCTGACACGGACAGTTAACTTGAGATGATAATAAAAATGCGGCTACATCAGAATTGTTGCTTAATTCCTTCACAAAGCTTCAGTCACGTCTTTCCTTTAGAGACAGAAGCAAAACCACACTCAAACCATCATCCAGCTCATGAATAATTGATGTTTCTGGAGAACTGAAAGGCTTTTATTCCATACTCAGACTGACGGCAGGTGAAAAGCACCTTACATTTTCACAATTAAACCACAGACGCTTAGAACATTAGAAATCAATTCAGCTCGGGCCTGTGTTGATATAGTTAACTAAAACCATAAAAAAACTTTCATTACTTAAAATAAAATGAACTTTAACTAAAGTAAAATGTTTTAAAAAGGACACATATTTCATATTTTGCTTTCAACATTTCTCATCATTTTAATTTAAGTTGATGTACTAAAATAACTATTTAAAATAATAATAATAATAAAATAAACAAAATTACAAAAACACAAAACAAAATTACTAAATGCCCCGGGGTTATTATAGTTAACTAAAACCATTAAAAAACCTTTCATTACTTACAAAACAAAATTTTTCATTTTATTTAACACGTACTGAAATAACTAAAACTAAAACTGAAATACAAAATGAATGAGCATATATAGGCATGTTAAAAATAAATAAAAATGACAACACAAAAAACTACTAAAATGTACCAGAGCTATTACAGTTAACTAAAAATAACAACAATAATAATAATAATAATAATACACTTTCATTACTTCAAATAAAATAAACAAATATTTTTTATTTCAGCTAGGTGCAAATGCAACATTTCTAATTTTTATTTTAATTTAACTTGCTGTACTACAATAACTAAAACTGAAAAAAACTATAGACATTAAAAAACTAATACAAATGTCAAAAACAGACAAAATTACTAACATTTTAACCAAAAAGCAAAATATTAAAATAAAATACTAATTCAAAATATGAATTAAAAAAAAAACTATAATAGTATTTCAATGATCCTAAAATTACACTGACTCAACCCTCAGTTCATAAAAACAAAATATGTATTTACTATAATGAAATTACAATGAAAGTCTAAGAGGCAGGGCATTACACTGGAATAAGCATTAAAATACACTGTTTTTGAAAGAATAGCCACAATACTTAAACATTAAATGAGTTAAAATGAGCCTAGTGTGATAAAATCACTAACCTTTTAACACATAAATAGTTAATCCAGTAATATAAAAAAATATATATATTTTTTGTAACTTTTAACACATAACTAGTTAATCCAGTGATATAAAAATATATAAAACATTTTTGTTACTTTTAACACTTCAGTCCTGTAATATGTCCACTAAAGAGCTGATTTAGACAATTTACAGCTAAAATAACACATTTCTGTGTTAAAAAAAATACTCTAATTTGATTCCTCAAACATTTCTAACCAAGAGAAACAAAAGCATCTGCTAATAAATTTCACAAAGAAATAGCAAGTAACTGCTATTTCTGCTCTCCATTTAATCTTGCTGCAGTCTAGGAGAAACAGCAGAGATATTAAAGGGGTCATATGATGCTTT